ATAATAATACTTTATTTATTCTGGGACGAGTCCCTTTAGAATAATACAGGAAGATAGAAATGTGGGCTAAGAAGCCTCAGAGATACATAAATAAAAATACAGAGTAACTGAACAGTCTTGGTGAAAAAAAAAAATATATATATATATACACACATATACATATAAGTTGCTTTCCAATTTTTATCAGTTGATAATAAAAAAAATAAAAAAATTGGAGTACAAACAATGAAGAGCGAACTAATAATTTATGTACATACTTACAGTAGTATCTATTTACGATTTTATGGGGACTGGATGGATAAGAAATTATTGAACAGGTGGGATTTAAAGGTAGGAATGAGTTCCATAGGGATGAGGATCCGATAGGATTTTTTGGATAGAAATTGGAATAGGAGGATTTTAAATCTGGATATGGATGGGGAATGTCGAATTTTGATAGGGAGGGAATTCCAGAAATTGACAGAGCGAACAATAAAGGAGTTTTGGAATGAAGCAGATCTGTGAAAAGGCATGTAATGGTTAGAAGGTCGAGATCTTGTGGACAGGGAATGGACTGAGGATTTGAATTGGAGAAGGTTAAGGTTGTAGGCGTAAGAAGGAGGATGGTTGTTGATGATTTGGTAAAGGAACGTACCTAGAAAATATTTAGCTTCTGGTACGATTCTTTATCTGGTGTTGCACAACCATGATGAAATTTAATTAAAAAGTTCGTGGTTTTTTGGAGAGTAAATTTGAATGAAATGTGATAACGATTTATATTAAATTATAGTTGAAAGGAAACGACAAAATCCAAGGAAATGACAGTGCAGAATACATATTGTGACTCCTATATGCACTAATACTAATTTTCGATCACAGTAAAAAGGTTTTAAAAAGTTATCCTTTTAGAGTTATTTTCACTTAATAAATGAATAACTAATTTTGCTGTCAGAAGCCACCATCCATTTCAGTATCATATAGTCACTGCGATAGTTGTAAACATGTCCAGAGACAATTTAGCCGCGACAAACCTTTTGGCACATTTTCCCGTTATTTTTTTCTAACTTAATTTTTAATAAAACCATTTTAATACTTAGTTACAGTCATTAATCGATGTGAAACCTATTAGAAATCTATTTATATTTTCTTCGTGCGCAAATTAAGTTTCATTGGTTCAGTAGTTAGGACGTTTTCTTTCTAAAAATCTTTAGTTTTTATTCGGGTATGTTCATTTTTTTTTTTTTTTTTTTTGAGAAATAATACATTTTGCCACACTTGAGGGCACTGAGTACTAAGGCTGAGTGAGGCACATTCATACCAGATATACAATACAATAAAAAATACATACATACATCTATATAACAAAGGCAAAAACTATAATAAACCAAGGAAATGTAACTTAGATTTAAAATTAAATAAAATACAGAAATCCGTAGCAAAATTAAATAAATTATAAGTAAAAGAAATAAATAGACAAACATTCATACTTAATTACAATATTTACATCAGGCAAGAGATCTCCGAGTCCAGCCCTTTCTCCCAAGTGTGAAGGACAGAGCGATACTCTAAGAGATCCCAGCGCTTCTCTCTCAACCGCGTCGCCGGCATTACCAGTCCGGTGGAGACTGAGAGAGGGCACTAAAACCACAAACACTCATGACTTGAGTGGAGAAGCTGGCCATTGCCAGAACTCCAGTGACGTCTTTACGAGATCTCGAGACCACTGCTGTTTCAACCTTCGAGGAGGATTGTAGGGATGTCTGGAGCTAGATAAGGATGGTGCTAAACGGTTAGAATGGTGGATTAGGTTCATGTGAAAATTTGAGAATCGGGATGGAATAACGTCAAGGACATAAGGGATGTAAAGGTCATGATGTAGGGTTTTGTTTGTAACGTAATAAGGAGCAAAGACGGAGGACTTTAGACTGAAAGGATTGGATGCGTTTGATGTTCGAAAATTTAGTTGTTCCCCACAATTCAAGTCCGTAGGTCTAGATGGGTTTGAATATGGTCTTGTATATAAATAGTTTGTTTTCTATTGAGAGATTGGATTTTCTGTTAAGTAGTCTGTATAGCTGGCCAAATCATCGGTTAAGTTCTTGTCTTTTAAGTCTGGTATGTGGGTTCCAAGTTAGTCTTTTGTCTAAAAGGAATCAAAGATACCGAACTGTGTCTAAGACGGGGAGAGGTACAGAGTTGAAAAGGATATATGGACAGGATCTTCGTCGGAGGGTCAAGGTGACACGCATGCATTTCGATTCATTGATCTTAATGCGCTAATTGTTGCACTAGCTATGGACATTAGTATGAGAAATTGAACTTGAATTGAATCAATTCTTAAATATTATTTTTATTAACTAAATTTTGACAGGGTGCGTGTTAAAATAAAGTACTATCATTTAGTGGGAAGGAACTTATCAGAGAAACTAAATTTTGAATGTGTGGTGAGAGAGTAGAAATGTTTAGGGTTAATAATTTAAAATCATTGAGTGGCTGCTTTCTTTAACATAAATGTAACCTATAATTAGAGGCATATTCCAGAAACAAACATCATTTATAAGCACTGGTTTGAACTAATTTTATTTAGAATGTGTCGAGGAATGAAAAAATATATTTCAAATTTGGAAGTAGAAGTACCGAAAACAAATTTAAGGTAATGTTGACACAAAGTAATAAGTAAAGAAAACAATATATTCATTCTGAATACTCGACAGTTGATTTTTTTCAGTTCATTAAAATTTCATTTAAGAGTTACTGGCTATAACCACATAGCAGATCGAATGGTGGAAATGGACAGCATGACGAACTTTTAACGCCATTCACATTATTTATCAAAGGAAGTCTTTCAGAAAACTTTGTTCAAATAAAGATGCATTACCTATGCTTGTGGATTTATTTATATAAAAGAATACTTCTATATTTAAGAGAGGCAGAAGACGTCCAGAAATTGATGTAGTCATAAGAAATGATGCTATAGACGATTACGAATTGAAATGTGTATGTTATTCATATGACGTATTTTTTATTGCCTGACGAATTCTAAGTTGATCTTTCAATAGACACACATTTTTAAAGGTTTTTCACTTATCATTTTATATTATATTGACGTTTATATATATATATATATATATATATAACTTAAGATATGAATTATAGTCGGATAACAGGTCATGAAATCCATCTCGGTAGCTTGATGCCCTTGTGGCGGTTCTGTTGGGTCTGTCAGCGTGCGTATCGATGCTCAATTAAAAGTAAGAAAAATTTGGTTTTATTGTTGAAATGTATGACAACTTTTGATTATTATACCAATGATAGGAATTGTTTTTGCAGAACTGAAGAGGATCCCATTATTTATATTGAAAAAACAGGGATAGAAAAATTTCATGACCTATTATCCGACTATAATTCATATCTTGTACGGTCTGTTTCGGGGAAAGAAAGATAGGTCCTCGTGCGACTGCTGACTCTGAGCGGCCATAATCCATAGATTTATACAGATCTGTCATTTTCCTTGAACCCGAGTGAGTCATTGGGAAGGAAATTGCCAGATTGGACCCAAAGGGATCGGCTATGGAGTTGCGGGTGGTCTCTATGGAGACCATGGTTCGTAGCAACGTGAGGTTGGATGATCTGAGCTCCCGCAAGCAACATACGTATGTAAGGAGGCCACATCTCGCGGCTTAAGATCTTCATGGTCTGTAGTGCCAACCGAAAAAAAAAATATATATATATATATATATATATATATTCATTCTTTTTGATGTACTGTATATACAAATACCTTGTTAGTTCTTATTTAATATCTGTATAGAAAATGTAGTTATGTTACATCCAAAAAAGATGTGGAGTTTTACAACTATTTAAAAATGTTATTTGTATGTTTAATGAATCTTTTATAGAAGATTATGGATAGTTACGCAGAATACGTTTAGAACTTTTATATAAATACACCAAAAATACTTAACAAAGAGTTTTTTTGACTAGAATGAAAAATGAAGAATTGTTTTTATATTTTAGTTAAGTCCTAAAATATCATGAAGAATTGGTCGCATGAACACGTTTCATGTACCAACCGATTCAGCACAAACAGAGCTGTAAAAAACAATCATCAACTGTTACCTATCTCATATTGTTTTGTCTTATACGGAACTTTGTCCCCAAAAAGATACTTTCGTTCCACTGTGCGGCGGTGGTTTTCGAGCATACCTATTCACCAATTCGATAGGTTGTGGTACTCATTGATGAAGAATTAAACGTTCTTTTTTTTTTTTTTTTTTTTTTTTTTTTTTTTTTTTTTTTTTTTTAAGTAGCTTTTTCTCCTGCTTGTTCTATTTAGGAATTATAAGTGAAAAACCATAAACTGTTCTAAAATTTCGAGTTTATTTGCTTGTCAAAAGTCCTCCCAAGTCGTTATTTATTTTTTACATTTGCGAATATATATGAAAGTTAAAAACTATAATGGAGTGCTAACAATGGGTAGTTTCTCCTCATGTTGTACATGTCATATTACTTGTTCAGATTTACTTGTTGTGTTTATAATTAATTACAGTTGTAAATTTCGTTAATAAAAAAAAAAAAAAAAAAAAAACTATAAAATTTCCCATAATAACCCTTACTTCCATATTCAACTGTCTAGTCCAAATTTTTTTTAAATCAGCGACTTTGGAATGGTTGGGTTGGATTCCCACTTGGGTCAGTTAATATTTATTTCTCGTTGGCTTTGAGAAATGAATCTTGACATTCCCACTGTGGTTAGTATTTAGGAAAGTTGTTGACAAAAAATACCACAAGGTCCATTAGCCGCTGATTTATCCATCCATTTCAGAAGTAGTAGTGTAAATAGAGTATTAATAACTGTTAAAGTATTTCTGACAACAATAAATTTTATTTTAGCCGAGATCCAAGTAGATAAGTATTAACAGTTTTAAATCATTTAAAATTAATTTTTTTAATGTTAATACATTATTTAGAAATTATTCATTAAATTTCTTTGGGCATTATCATATTATGAAGGCATTGGCATAATTGTTTAAAGGTTATTTTAAGGTTGTTAAAGTTTTAATTTTTTCAAAAAAATAATTCAAAAATTATCAGAATGGACTATTGTTATTCCTACTTTTACAATAGCAGCACTAATTTCGAACCAAAAAAGTTAGCTTGTGAAGCTGGCTTCATTGATGAAGGAGGAAGTGCAGTACCCCTTCCTGAAGAACTGACAAAAATGTTCAAACCTTTGGAATGTGAACTATGTGGTGTTGTTGTGACTTCTGAGGTCACTGCATATACACATTATGAAGGTAAAGTTCATATGAAAAATGTTAATGCTTTCATGAAAGAACAATACAATATTTATGGTTCTATGAAAAAAATCAAAGTTGAGTTCACCCCACATCTGTGTGAAGTTTGCAAATGTGAGCTTTCCTCTCTTATACAAGCCCAGCAACATTATACTGGAAAAGTTCATAAGAAAAATTTAAGAAAGATTAATTATGATCCACAAGCATCAATGGCTAATCCATCTGAAATTAATGATGATGAGTTAGGTCCAGATTTGCTTAAAGATCTACCTCCACCACCCCCTCCACCTGTGCTGTCTGACTTCATTTGTGAGATCTGTAATATAACCACTAATACTGAATATCAACTAATTGTACATAAAAATGGATCTAAACACAAAAGGAAAGTTAAAAAGCTAAAGGAATCATTTGGCGACTTTGGTACTGATGGTTTTGGATATTTTACAGGAGATATGCCTTCAGAAAACTATTCTGAGAGCCAGGAATGTACATCAGTGGAGCCAATCGTAACTGATTATTTACCTTTATCCAATGAACCATTGCAATTTAATAATATAATTAATAGTAATAATTTCCAATACAATGTCAATCCAACTCAGTTTGTGTCAAATCAGTTTGAAGATGAGGAAAATGATCAAAATGCTCCTCTGTGTATAAAATGGTTCAATGACAAAAAAGAAGCTCCCCCAACAAGACCCATGGAAGAGGCATGGGTTGAAACTTTCAATAAAACAGCAGAAGAAACACAGATTCATGCACTTTCCACTAAAATGTCTCAAAATCTGAATAACCTCATTATTCCATCTCGAGGAGAAAATAATTATTTCATCCCTCCTTCAACATCCAATATATCAGATATTAGAACATATGAAGTTTCACCAGAAATTGCTGATCTTCCTCAGTTTTCAGTTGCAACAGTGTTGCCACAATTACAGGCTCCTCCTAGCCCACCTATAGGTTTAATAACTAGTGCACTATTTGAAATTTCTGACAAAACAGTTACAGATGATGTAGAAACTTCTTCATGTTTGGATCCTCCTCGGATTCGTTTTAGGGATACCAAAATACAACCTGATAAAGGAACATGTGAATCATCAGTGAAACAGGATAATATTGATGTAAATTGTAAAGAACAAGAAATTTCAGATCCTGCTTCATCCACAAATATAGATAAAACATTGGAAACTCCTAAAACACTTTCATTTGAAGTTACACCAGTACAAAACAATCAAAGTGCTAGATGTTTTAACAAAGAAAAACCCTCCAAAGCTGTTATTAGTTCTGAACAGAAAAAAAATAATGAAGAGAATAGAGGCAAATTTATAACTTCCAATTGGGAAAAAACCGAAGAAAAAAATATTGATAATGAAAATGACCAATTGAAAAAAAAAGGCCTAAATGTTTTGTTTGGCTTTAAAAAAGGACTAATTAAAAAAACTACAGAAAACATTAATAAAAATCCTGATAATAATTTACAAGAAATTTCAATATCCAAAGAAAGCAAAAAAATAGACATCAAAGACCGTATTGAACCAATTAAAGAAATTAGAATCGAGAAAGCTGAAACAAGCTATGAAAAAATTAATTTAAATAAGGAATACAATAGCCAAGAAAAACAATCTTATGACTCAAAAGAAGATGAATCAAAAAAAGATTATTCTGATAAGAAAGGTGAAGAATCAAAATACAGTAAAGTAAAAAGTCACTCAAAATATAGGAAAGACAAGTATGAAAAGGATTCACATGATTATCATAGAAATTCATATGATTATCACAAGGATTCACGTGATTATTACAAGGATTCACATGGTTATCGAAAAGATTTTCGTGATTATCGCAAGAATTCAAATGATTATTATAAAGAGTCAGATGACTATTGCAAGGATTCCCGTGATAATCGCAAAAGTAAAGATGATTACAAAAAGCGTAGGGGACACAGAAAACGTAAAGATGATTATGACAGCTGCACAGATAGCAATGATGAGGATTATCGACGTGAAAAGAAAAAATACAGACATTCATCTAGAAGCGATGATGAGGATTATCGGTATGAAAAGAAAAAGCACAGACATTCATCTAGAAGCGATGATGAGGATTATCGAAATGAGAAGAAAAGGCACAGACATTCATCTAGAAGCGATGATGAGGATTATCGAAATGAAAAGAAAAAACACAAACACTCATCAAGAAGGGAAAAAGAAAGTCATAAAAATAAAAAACCATCACTGGCCCAACCATTTCTTCATAAGACTAGCACTAAACACAGCATAATAGATTATCTCGCCCCTGCTTCCGAATGTGATTCTTATGATATTGCAATGTATAGAACACCATCTGGGTCATATTATTGCACACGATGTGATTATAAATCTAAAAATAGTTCTGAATTCACGAATCACTTGTACAGCAGAGACCATAAGGAAAAGAAAAAGAATAAAACAAAGTGAGATATCTTAGGCAATTATATTTTGTTTCACATGGTTACCAATACAATTCTGTATAGAAACATGAATGAAATGAATTGTGTTTTTAAAATGTATCCGCACAATCGTATTAGTGTAAATATGAAAGTTATCATGAATAAGTGATTTTCCGTAACTATTTGTAGAACTATTTTATCTCTTAATAAACAGCTGGAGTACTGAACCTTAACACTATTAATATAAGATATTATTTTTGGTTCAGAATAGCAGCAGATAAAGGAAAATAATATAAACATTTTTCCTGATAGTTACGTGATTTATTCAATGTTGAGGCCTTGATATCAGAATAGTGATTGATTGGTTGATTTTGTTCACTATTATAAATAAATAAGCAACTCAGAGATTAATATCAAATAATGACCATATTTAGAGACAGATTCATGTAATATCTAATTTATTTTCTCTTATATCTGAGCCATTGGTGATGTTTTTCTTATTTTATGAATTCAAGTTTTGCTAGATATTATAATAAAAAGAGATTTTACATACATATAATAAATGTGTGTAAAGTCATGTCCACTATAGCAAAACTTTGGGCTGATCAAAAAGTGTTTTAGTGATTATTAAACTAGGTGTTTTTTCTTTCTTTATTATTATAGACAAGCAAAAAATAAATAAAGAGAAAATATTAAGTTTAATATTTGATAAAAAATAGGGAGGATTGAAAAAAGTAATATAGTTAATTTTTGTAAATAGTTAATTAACTAAACATACATTTTAATCCATGTGATATTAAATGAATAATTTCTTTCTCAAATATTTTTGGAGAGCTTTAAATTATTTTTATGTTGGTGAAAAAAGAGAGAGAGAGAGATCAAGAGAAAAAAAGTGCTGAGGAAATAACTGTCAATTCTTCTATTTCAGCCTTAAGTTAGTTCTTGCAGTCCATAAAGTTTGAAAACATCCACAGACTTTGTATACTGACTATAATTTCCAAACTTATTTTAATTTCATATATATTTAATATCCATGGTGTATTCTTCAGGAATTATCTCAACTACCAGAATTATTTCTGCTTGAATATGCTACAGGCTTTCTGTTAAGAGACTAGGGCTTCGGATACAACGATATCTTGTGAAACTTTTTTTTCCTAATTTGTTAAAATATAACTGGTCACCCATACCAGATGACAGCTATAAATGGAGCCATTGAATTAAGATAAAGAAGAATCAATTGGGTCAAAGCTATAGATCGCTAAGAAACATTTTTATCCCATTAAATTCACGAATTTTATAATAAAGATATGTTGATAAATTCAACCATTTTTCTTTTGAATGTTTTTAGAACAGCAGTATCTAGATCTTCTAAGGAAATCCCAGACTTTTGACTGAGAACAATTGATTTCTGAAATTCACTAGAAACAGGCATGGCCCCATCCAGATACTGCTGGCTTTCATAGGCAGGATTCATAGACAAGGATTGCATTTTTAGTAATGAACTGTCCTCTAAACATAGATGACAAACTTATATATATATATGTTAAGATAGGCTGTACATGTAGGTAATAGGAATCCATCTGAAAACCTCTACGTAACAATGAATGTCTCAATAGAAGACCACATAGAAGGCCAAAAAGCTGACAGATAGATAAAGTCAATATAAATGCAATAGAGCTGCGTTCAGATAAATGTAAAGAAATAGCCAAGACAGGCAAAGATGGAGCAAGCTACTCAAGGCGGCAAAAGATCTACAAGGGCTGTAATGCTAACAGAAAAAAAATAATATATATATATATATATATATATTTTTTTTTTCTCTTGCATAGTAAGCCTAAGTAGGAGGAGTTTATTTGCAAAAGTTTACTTTCATCATGCAAATTTGCACATTATATGTATGAAAGTTATATTTACATTTTATCTATTCTATTTTTTTTATAAAAATTATAGAAAACAACATAAAATAAGAAAAATAAAAAGCAAAACAAAAAAGCAGAACTAAAGCTACAATACTTGTCTACATGAAAATAATATTTTTATTTACAATTTTAAAGAGATTATATATAAAACAAACATTGAAGAATAAAAAGAATAAAGCACCATAATAAGATAAAGATAGGTAAATATTAATAAAATATAGCAAATATACTAGATATATGTACAGAAATATTTAACATAAAATAAAACTGAACTAACAACATTGTGAATAAATATTAATAAAACATCGGGAAATAATGCTGAAAAATAAATTAATTAATAAAAATACAAAAAGGAAAAAAAAACATATTTACAAATGATAGTAATATATAAAGTTGAAATAATAAAACTATTCATACACGTTAATCATGATAATAAAAATACAAGATATCTTTATATATTGCTATCGTTTGTAAATATCTCTCGAGGAGAAGCTTGAGAGGCATCTTTATGTGAGAAAGGATTTTTATTTTCTATGCAAATTACTGTTTAGAGCCTCAACTGTTAGAAATTAACAAATACTACTTTATGCTTATTTACTATAATCATAATCAGAATTCATACATACATAAGTGTCTCAATATCCAGCTGTAAAAGTGGACAAATTTTGTTAAGGAGGAAGTTCGTGAAGTTAAGAAATCGAAATATACATTTTTGGGGAATGCATTTCTTGATCAAGGACAGGAACATCACAATAATAAGTGTTACATCATTTTTTTATTTCCAATTGAGCTGTCTGGTAGTTTCGGTAAGAAGTAATTTAATTCATGGATTAAGGTTTCACTCAGAAAGCATTCAAATCAACTGGAAAACATCGCATTGAGAAAAGGCAATGGAGTAGGTTTTATTTTGTCTTCAAAACTGAGGATAAAACATCAATTCTTGTTTTCAACTTAAATGAGTGGTAAAAATGAATTGGATATGTAATTTTATAATTTACATATTTGTGAATAAGAATGGTCTATAAAATTTTTAAAACAAAAACTTTTGTAGCAAATAATGGTTGTAAAAACCACCTACCAATTAATTTTTATAAGTAATATAAGGAAGGCGTGATTACTGAAATAAAATTGTATGTATATTTTTGAATAGAAATAATTGAATTATTTATTGCAGGAACGACACATGAATGAAATGAAAAATAATTTCATTCTAGGAATACAGTCCCCTAAGAATAATAACAGGGTTTGATAATTAAGAACATTAGTCTGGCTTAGAGAATACAAAATGATGCTTAATTATCTGTTAATTATAATTTAATTTGTACACTTAATTAAATTATACAGTATATAGATGTAGATAAATTTTACTTGTCAGCAGAAATTTGATTATAAAGTAGGTGGTGGAATAGAAGTTGTTTAAAGAAATTTCTAGGGAAGGATTGATGTATGGAAAGAAAAGAATAATTTAAACATTCGAACAAGAAAAAAAAAATTGTTTTCTCAACCTAAAAACATGAAGTTTAAAAAATTTATGACAATCAAATTAGAAAAAAAAAACACTCCATCAAAATACTATAATTTAAATGTTATAATCTTAAATATTAATACATCATATTTAATTGTAATTTGTTTTCTGCTTCATTCAAACTGTCTTGAAGATTAAGGGATTTTGTAACAATTTTAATACTTACTAAGTTTCCAGTGACAACTTTTTTTGGTTTTCGGTTTTCGACTAAGTTGATCTTGATAAAGCAATGTAATAATCAGATGATATATTGAGAAATGTAATGATGAAATGAGTCTTAGCAAAAGATCAGTATAACAATTTGGTTCGAAATTTCAAATATATTTTGTACAATTTTTCAGTACAATTATTATATAAATTGGGTGGTTGAATATGATAAAATGGAATTCAATGATAATTTTAAGCTAGAACAGTCATTGGCTAACAATGACTAAAACAAAAATGAATAGTTTTCTTTAACAAAAATGTTTAAATACATCTCAGAAACATGCTTAATATGAATATTGATTATTGGGATTCAAATGAGATCAGTACTCACCCAGAAAAGTTCATGAAAAAATTATTATCTTACGTTTTTGTATATATGTATATATATATATATATATATATATATATATATTTTTTATTCTCTCCTTCCTCGCCTTTAAGGCTATACAGGGTTTTCTCGGGCCAGGGACTAACACCCTATGCAGGGATTTAAATGCCCTCACGGCAGAGTTTCAAAAGACTCCCCTGGCACTGGGGCGTGAACTTATGACTATTTTTATCAATTAGTCGTATATCAGGTTGCCGGGCAACGGCAATGCGGTGCACACGCTTTAGCCTGTACGGCCACTCCACCCTTACGTTTTTGTATATTATGGTTTGCAATAAAAAGCTCAAGTTACAAAGTTTCTTTTAAAAAACATTTTTTTGGGCGATGCCTTGGGAAGAGCCATTTTTTCCCTTTAGATGAGCCGCCTGGGGAAACCACTCTCTCCATGCAACACCTCACATGCATACAATGTATATACATTGTACTCACTTATAAACTTCTTTATGTCTGATAATGATACATATAATGTGATAAGATACATGATGAGTTGGAATAGCAGGCATGTTCACTCCATAATTCTCTTCATGTATGTTTTCGTTTACCAAACATTGCTAATATTTGATCACATTTTCACTTGGTTTTTATTTTAAATAATAGTATAAAGACTTTATTGTTTATATTTTAGAGTGTCATGTTAAAAATAAATATAAATATTATTTGTAATATAATCTAAGGTAAACTTAACTTTTTTATTTATTATTTCAATACACGAAAAGAGATTGAATGAAAAGGTTATTAAAATAATAGTTTTGGAAGATATTTTATTTAATATAAAAACAGAGAATTATTATATAGTGAATAATTACGACTAGCTCTACATCCTAAATAAAGTGCCAATTTTTCCAGACTAGTATTGCGATCACATAGATACTTAATATAAATTAGACTTTTAAATCAAACAGGCATTAATAATATACAACTATTGAAATCACATTTCATAAATTAATAGTATATTATACAGTTTCTTTGAGGGAATGAATACATTTTTACATTGTTGGCAGCATATGTAACTTATTATATAATTCAGCAAGCCAGTAATAAATTGAACTAATAACTTCATTGTCTAATACAAAATCACAGTAATAATATTGAGTACGCCCAGAAAATTGAGATCTCTCCTTTCGTGATTTTAGTGGACCCAAAATAATTGAAAATCATGCACATTTATATTCTACAATAAGAGGACTAGATTAAAATGTAGTCGTAAAATTAGAAATAAGTAAACAATTAAGATGTATTTAATAAATAAAAATAACTACAAAGTTTGGTGTAATAATACTTAAAGTTAATTATTTATTTTTATTAAAAAATGACAATTAAAAGAATGTGGAAGAAAGAATTCGTTTAGTTTTAAAATATTTGACAATATAAATATATTATTTGCTTACAATTTAATCTTATTTTAATGAACATTTAAAGTTTATTATAATAATATTAATTTTGTAGCCCTATGAGATATTATAAATCCTTTATGAATATCTGATGTTCAATTGGAAGTCATTAATTTTATTCCAAGAGGCAAGGCCTGAAGAGAATAAAGTACTTTGGGGTATGCCTTGAATATGAGCTCATTAACACTCCTCTTAGAGGAAAATTAATCTTATAATATTACTTCCATTTTTAAAACATAGTAACTTGCCATAAAAATAATACAATACATTATAATAAAAATAATAGTTAAAGCCCCTAATGTGGATCAAATGCAAGTCATTGAACCCGTTAATCTTCATCGCATTAACTGCATTTTATTTTTTTTTCAATTTTTAGAATTTTTTGTTACCTAAAGTTATAAATTTCAAAATGTAATAAATACATAGTACAAAGTTCATCAGTTTCACAGTCCATTTAATAAATTTTCTTGTTACATTATTATGCACTTCCCCTTTTCAGCCCATGGGTTGTTCTTCTTATCGGGAGCGTGGATCAGAGGATCGTTCTTTTCATTTTCTTCAACATATTCCCTCATTCTGTAAAAATATATTAAAATTTATTAATTTACAGTTGAGATACTACAGATATGTTATATCTAATAAATTATTTGAAATTTAATTTTTCTTGTTGAAAAAAAAAAATCTTGTTTTTTATAGAATTTCATCAGTGAATTCAGGAGTGGATTGGTTTAATAATTTTTTTTTTTTGAAATTATAAAATAAAAAAAAAATAAAACACAGAAATCCTGCACATTCAAAACATTTTTTTGTAATATTGGATTCTAATTTAAATTACATTTATTCAAATTAAAAATAATAAAGGCCAACATATAATATTAAATCATGAAGAGAAGAAATAGTTGGGGTGCTCAGTCAAAAAAGGAAGGCAAAAAATAAATTATAATATTTATTTTTTACAAAATGTAAAAAATAAATATTATAATAATAAATAAATATTATAATATTTTACATAATGTAAAAAATAAATATTATAATTTATTTTTTGCCTTCCTTTTTTGACTGAGCACCCCAACTATTCTTCTCTTCATTATCCACGACAGTCAACCAATTACAAATTATAATATTAAATCATTAAAACAAAGAAATTATAAAAACTAATAAAACAGGAATATTTCTTTATTAGATATTCGCTTGAAATATCAATAATAAATATACCACATAAAATAAAAATAATATATTTATCACTGAGAAAAAATTAGTATATACAGCTTTTTCTACAGAAAAAATATTTAGTATGCCATCAGAATCTCTATACTATCTACATAGAACAAAGGAAACAATATAAATACTAATTAAAAATAAACAATTTAATTATGAAAATATTATCTCAAGAAATGTATTGATTTCTGGAAGTAACCATCAATTTTCCACAAACACATTATCCCTATTTATTTTCTTCACTTTTATAAACTAATATTTCCCCTGTACGTAAATTTTGAAGGAGAACATGATTCTATAGGATTAAATGTTATAATAATCCCTTGTAAATTTACTTTGTCCAAAAGACTCAACTTAACTAGAATGAAAATTAAATGTAACGTTACGCCGTTTAATTACAACTATAAATCGGAGGATTTAGGACTGCTGAAACGTCTAGTCTGGAGAGAATATCAGATCAGGTTTAACACGTGTCCCTAAAAAATAATTCACGAAGACAGATGGCGTACCTGGTTGTGTATTGGAAACTGATGGCGTCAAAGTCACTAATTATTTTACTTAAAAAGTAATACCATATTTATAAAACGCATTTCTCGTGAATTATGAGTTTTAGGAGAAAAACCGACCAAGAACGATAGTTAAAATATCCAAGAAACTAAAATTCAGACCTGTATACTGAGGGAAAAGGCAATGTTCAACATGTCATCCTCTTTTTAATCTCGCAATCCCGAGTTAAAGAGGCGAAAAGGGAAGAAATAGTGTCGAAAACCAACTGATACCGAGTTTTATTCTTCATACGGATCAAAATATCTCAGAAACTAAAATCAAGACCTGCACAGTGTAGGCAAGGGAAATATTCGGCATTTCATCCCCTTTCTAACGATCTATCACTCAAACTTGTAACTTAACGTGAGGGAGAGAAAAACTGGTTGATATGCCTCGAAATTTTGGACTTTTTGATGGGTTCAAACCCCCTTAAAATCTTAAATCGACCTGTCTGAACTGATAGACGAGCATTTTCGTAATACCTAAAAGAGTACTATCAGCGTGTTGTGTTAGTTGAAAATTTGCTTCAAATAACACGACTTTTTCGGCCCTGGCTTAGTTCTCTTTTTTAATAGATTTCAATTTTCTTCCAAGCTTCTCCTTCCGGTGGCTTTTCAGGATCCTTTTTATCCATTGTATCGGCTGAGTTTTATTGTTCGAAAGTTGGGAAAAGTTACTTCATCTTTTTTTCTATAGGTCTAGTGTGTCTATGCAAGCTTGGAGGCCTGGCTGACGCTGGAAGGGCGGTAAGGACAAACACTATTAATATTTATAGACAGCATTTTAGGTAAAGCGGGGAGGTGGCGGGCCTGAAGGAGCCTCCTAATAATTAACGACTGGTGGGAGGGGGGGGGCGGACGGCGCCACGTCCCCTAATTCTCTCACCCCCCCCCCGCCTTCTACCGTGGAAAATATTATGATTCAGTCCAGGCTATTGATTCCTTATTGTCACCGGCCTGTCTAACATAATGGAGTTAACGGGAAAACAAAGAGTTACAGAACTTATGTGCGTCTTCAACTAATTATAAAATATAACAATTGAGAAAGAAATAATTAATTAGGAAATTAGAAAGAAATTATATTTAAATTTTGAAAACTCAAAAACTTTGAAAAACGAATAGAAATTACTTTCAGAAAGGTGATATATGAGACAACTCTACATTTCAGTTTCTCGACTTTTTTTTTTTTTTGGTTACAATCGGAAGATGTAATCGGAGCCAACATGGCTCTACCCGCATATTAAATTTTAATAAAAGATTTTAAAAAAAACAGAGTCTTCTTACAGAGAATATATTTCTTCATAGTTCCGTTTACTTTTTATTACAACCATCTAGATAGCCTTGCCAGCTGAAGAACAGCGAAGACATGAAGAAATGAGAGGATCTATAGACCCAAACCTCTGCCCTAACTATGTTGTCCGGGACTTACACAAATCCTCATCTCCATTACTTGTTTTGTGTACCGCTTGCCCTCCTCTACGAATCTTAAGCCTTAGCAAAGCCACGCGTTTTTCCTCCAGCCACGCGTATTTGTAGTCTTCCATCCTAATTGAAATTTTGTTCGATTATGCAAAAAACCATAGCAGCTTGGTGGTATATTCACTTCCACTTCTCCCCGAGGCTGTGATTTTAAAGCCTGTCTCAGATAGTTTCAATACCCACTCAGTAACTGTTACAAATATCAGTTCCAAGAATATCGCTCCGCCACTAATGAATTTTTATTACAATCCCCTTTTTCATGTCTTTCTAAATGGATAATATACGACGAGTAATGCCTGCTATTATCCGAGTTTTCGCTCTATGAATGGAATCCTGATTTATAGCTGCTGTCAAAAGAAAGTGTAATTAGAGGTGTTGCTTTATGCCCTCCTTTGAACGCTGAGCTGCAAACTGCATCGTAAAGCTGATCCTTCTCTTCCCACCTTCCATTTTATTGGACCTTTGGCAGCCATAGGCTCTGTTATTATAGAACATGAAACTGGTTTGAATGTTCAATAGTTGATGGATATGGGATAGTTTTCCTGCAATAATCTCTTAACAACCAAAATGGTAGCAATAGATTGGATCTCGTCTCTTTCTGGGATGCTCAGACATTTATATAAAGAAATAAAACAAAAATAAATAAATATTTTTTTTTTATCCTTAGCCTTGATCTTCTTGAGCTCTTTCGGCCATGCGACGTCTAGCAGCCCAGTAAATTTCACCTTCTGTCCTGGCTTTGTCTCTAATGTTCTGTAGTCCATGAATCCTTATCTACACAGTGGACATTTTGCTGATTCGACAACTCTAATACGGTATAGATGGCTTTGGAGATAGTCATGTCCGGTTTTCATCCTAAATTGTGCATCCTAACCTCGCCTCACTTCTAGGAAGATCCACTATAAATAAATAATATGCTAGTAAATGGAATATCTTTTAAATTCTGGAATACTTGGGAAGATGAAAGGAATACGAGAGAAAAAATACAAGAAATGTTGTAAAAATTGTATATACTGTAAATTAAAATCAGGTTAATAATTTCAATTTGTAATGTTTTGTAAATACGCGGCGTGTCTATTAAATAATGAGACTGATGTTGTATAACATTTTATTTTGATTTTATACTCATTTACATATGGTATCGAGCTATGAGGAACAGGGAAGACATCAAATATAAAAATAATTCAGTAATTTCATTCAAAAGTCCTCCGGAAAATTGTAGTCGCACCATTTGTTGTTTCAAACCTTACGTTACACACTGACCTTGACACCACCGGCGGATCTACGGGGGGGAGCTTTCGGGCTGAAGACCCCCCCCCAAAATGGAAAAATATAACAATGTTTTATGGGGAAAAAAATTTAAAAATACCTCTTAAAGTATTATTGTTCGTGTAATTACATTTAAAAGTACTTTTAAACACCATTTCATATAGGTAGTAGTTTCTTTCTGTTTTTCCAAAGTAATTATCGTTATTTTTATGAAAAAAAAGGTTTCGGGCTGAAGCCCCCCCAAAATTAAATCCTGGATCCGCTAGTGCTTGACACTCATTTCATCACGGCAATTGCCACAGACCGCTTTGATAATTTTCATGACAGACTGTCTCTAAATTCAAATCCACTTTCTCAAACTCTATCTACTGCCACAAATCCATATAATCCGCCCAGAAGACTGCTGAGGAGCTGGCCAAGAGACTTACAGTAATTTACTGGATTGAGCTACTTGCTGTGTGATCTTTTGCTTTTGTGTCATTATGTTATCTTATTTTCATTTCACTCCTTTTTTTTTATATATATATTTTTTTTTATTTGTTTTGTTATCATTATTTTTTCTTTTGTTTTGTTCTCTTTGATATCATATTTTATAAATACGGAAGTAGATGGCAAATTTATTGTATTCATTCAGAAATATGTGTAACTTATAAATATATAATATTTATTTACTAATTATTCATCCCTCCTCTACCCCGACAACGCTCCATGCTAATTTTCAATTGTTCGAAATAGAGATGAAAGTCTTCTTCTCTCAGTCCTTTCAGTATGCATCCCGCGGCACGCTATCTCTTTCAGCAAAACCGCAAATGTCCTAGTGAAGGTGATCGAAAAGAAAAAAAAAAATCATAATTGCTCATTCGAGCTCATTTGACTTTCAGTGAAGTTTCGGCTATCCAGTACATAGATTTGGCGATTCGTAAAACGATCATAAATTAAAAAAAACACAATTCTTATTAATTATTATTAAAAATACTAATTTTATAATTATATATTGGAAAACATTATAACAATAAATTAAAACTAGGTTTTATTTAAAAGGACCAATCTGATCGGAAAAATTATTCGGAGCGAAGAAATCAAAAAATAATTTACTATTATTTATTTGTGGAAAATAACTTTTTTTTCTTTATGACGCTGATAAATATAATGAATTAAAGATATAAAATACAATTTAAGCTTTTCTTATTACCTGAGTTACGAATTAGTTGACTTATGATTAAATTAATTAGTGTATAATTAATTTATGATGAATTAGGAATGTAAAAAAAAAAATTAAAACGAAATATGTTTAAAATGTCATTATACGCACGGCACGGGGGGCTTCAGCCCGAAACCTTTTTTTTCATAAAAATAACGATAATTACTTTGGAAAAACAGAAAGAAACTACTACCTATATGAAATGGTGTTTAAAAGTACTTTTAAATGTAATTACACGAACAATAATACTTTAAGAGGTATTTTTAAATTTTTTTCCCCATAAAACATTGTTATATTTTTCCATTTTGGGGGGAGGTCTTCAGCCCGAAAGCTCCCCCCCGTAGATCCGCCGGTGGTGTCAAGGTCAGTGTGTAACGTAAGGTTTGAAACAACAAATGGTGCGACTACAATTTTCCGGAGGACTTTTGAATGAAATTACTGAATTATTTTTATATTTGATGTCTTCCCTGTTCCTCATAGCTCGATACCATATGTAAATGAGTATAAAATCAAAATAAAATGTTATACAACATCAGTCTCATTATTTAATAGACACGCCGCGTATTTACAAAACATTACAAATTGAAATTATTAACCTGATTTTAATTTACAGTATATACAATTTTTACAACATTTCTTGTATTTTTTCTCTCGTATTCCTTTCATCTTCCCAAGTATTCCAGAATTTAAAAGATATTCCATTTACTAGCATATTATTTATTTATAGTGGATCTTCCTAGAAGTGAGGCGAGGTTAGGATGCACAATTTAGGATGAAAACCGGACATGACTATCTCCAAAGCCATCTATACCGTATTAGAGTTGTCGAATCAGCAAAATGTCCACTGTGTAGATAAGGATTCATGGACTACAGAACATTAGAGACAAAGCCAGGACAGAAGGTGAAATTTACTGGGCATTATACGCACGGCATGCTACAAAATGCCCGTCAGGAATAAATTTCACATTTACATGAGCTCACATTAGAATTCCAATTTGAATAAAAATACAATGACACTAAACATACCCGCAGCATGGATTACAGAAACGAAAATGACCGTATATTAAAAAAATGAATCTACTAAAATAAACGTTTAAAGTTGATACGAAGTAGCACCGTTGAGATTACAGGCTGAAGTCCCCCAATATGGAAAGTTGTGTGATGCACTCACCAGATTTTTCTATTTTTTCTAGACTAATTAACGTTATAAAACAAACTTTTTTCAATAACCCATATTTATTTCTGTCAGTTATTAAATTTTGCAATGGAAAAATAACAGTTTAAGAACTAATATTATCACCATCGCAATCCATAATCATTTATAGAATAATTAAACAAATATACTTTCAAATCTTTCTAGGTACATACAGCTCGGAGACCGGAGTTGTGCGGCTTAAAAAAATAGATTGAGTTTTTTATTGTCCATCGTCGATATAATAAATGCAGATTGTGTTATTTCAATGTCCTTAATGAGTTGTTTACAGGTTAGCTGTAAAGTTAAGATTTAACTCCGTTAAAAAATCACTTTAAAAACTTTGTAATAACCCAACTTTGACAAACAATAATTCCTATTCAAAGTAAAACTGTAAGTGAAAGTTGTGTGATTCACGCACCAGATGTTTCTATCTCTTCCAGACAAATTAACGTTATAAAACAAATTGAATTCCAAATTGAATCCTGGATTCCCTACTGTGAATGGGTTAGGTTAGCGATTAAAATATATTTGAAACAGCTTCGTTTAACGGAAAATATTAATTGATTTGTTTGGTTTTAATTTTGTTTAAACGGGATTTTTTCCTTATTCGCTATTAATACCTTCCTTGGAAATGGCATTACATTAAATTATGCCAGGGATAGAAGAGCACTACCCATTTCGTTTTATTTTATCACTAAAAATATCTCACGTAGACTTTTTATAATATATACTTCGTTCAAATGGTTATGTCAAATATTAACTGTTTCTGCTAAGTCCATGTCATACTTCATTATTTCGTTTTCTTACTTTATTTTTAAACCTATGTAATTAAACCAAATGCAAGACCAAAACGAGTCTTGGTCTTGCGTTCCTCATTTTGGTCTTGAATAGTAGTCTTGCAATTACTTATTAACTTATTCCTACAGAGATGTTACTGTATTTACCTATTCTTTACATAAATTAAATAAAATTGTCTTGTATTAGTAACTATTTTGCCTTAATTTTTATTCGAAAAATAGACCTTTTTTTAGCAGTCTTGGTCTTGGTCTTGCTGACTGATTTTGGGCAATACTATATGTAAACGGTCCTAAGTGATTGTAAGATATTTGGTAGTTGTGTCAAGTCAGTCGGTGACGTTTATTAAAGTAGAAGTCAGAATAAGAAGCAGGTATTTCTTTTCCCGCTCACAATATTAGGACCTAGTGGCAAAGCTTCAGCTTTCACATGCCTTATATTCTGATACCAACTAGATAAAGAGGGAAAATTCAATGAGGGAGGAATTTTATCAAGGTCACCTGGATTTTTAAATTTAAGAGAAAGAATTCTGAATAAAACAAAGAATAATGAAGAGAAGAATAGTTGGGGTGGTCAGTCAAAAAGGAAGGCAAAAAT